GGTGCCGACACGGGGTCTTGCCCCTCACGGCGTCGTCCCTGCTCTGTGCACATGTCCAGTGCCGCCACTTTGGGCTGATGTTCTCCCCACACTTGGTTAGCAGAAGGGGGCCCCTGACGTTAGAAATGACACGTGTTTCTAAGAAGCGGCTTTGCACTGTCACCACTTATAATACATCGTCCTTTATTTTCCCAGGCTTCACTGGGTCAGACATGACATTGCACTGATAAGAGAAGTGGGAGTTTCCAGTTGCCAGGCTCAAACTGCTAAGTGGAAGGACGCATATTAAGTGCTGGCATTGACCTTCCCTGGCCAAGCCGGGCTGGTGAGAAGCCGGGGGCAAGACAGGGAGGTGGCGTGTTACGGGGCTGGAAGGAAGCGGAGTGACGCAGACTCAAGGGTGGGGACATCCAGGACACACAGAAAGACACAGCTCCACAGAAGACTCGGAAACAGACGTGGGTGACACCTTCCTAGTGTTTCGTAGGCCTCTCAATGCACTTCACAAACACTCTGTGACAGGTACCGCACCTTAACCCATGCCTAATGACAGACAGCACCCTTCAGTTGGGGACCGGTGGTCTCTGCTTGGGATGCTGTACTGACCGGGCAGATCAAGGAGCATCTCCTGCCTTCTCCCCGCAAGTGTCGGGCGGTGTCTGTCTTGGGACCACACACGAGGCATCGCTCACTCCCGGGGTGTGTTTGCATTCTGTGGGAAGGTGGGACCCCACTGGCTACGTCACCAAAAGCCACATTGGGTATTAGGCTGGGCACAAGGAAATTCTTTATTTTGGGACTTTGGCTGTCAGAAGAGGGGTTTTTTTTTCCTCTCCAAGACTTGGAAAATAACAGCAGTGGCCATACTTCACAAGTACTTACAAACAGCATTAATTGAGAAGGGGGTCTGTCTTTCAGGGTACCTGTGTGACAGGCATGGAAGAAAAAGAGCAAAAAGAAAACAGACAAGGAGTCCCATGTTTGAGGAGCACACTGAGAACTGAAACCACACAGATCCGAACAGCGGAGAATAAGGCTGGAAGTGCTCCCCTCAGTGGGACCGGAAAATTAAACTCTTTATATATGTCATCTTATGTTTAAGTAGGCTATACTTTTTAATAAAATAAAACCTTTTATGTTAAAGATATCATTTAGGCATCTAAGGGATGATTTGGAAGAAAAATGCAGTGCACAGAGGGTCCTGGAGGAAGGTACCCTGTCAGGTTGATGACGTTTGTCCCTAAAGAGAGACTCGTCACAAACGGCTGCAAAAATCGTGCACCCCACGCTTGGTACGGCCCTGGGCACGCCGGCCTGTCGGCCCTCGAGCCAGACGCCGTCTGTGTGCAAGGCTGTGCCTCCTGGGCTGAGCGGGTGGGTGGGGGGCTGTGGATGCGGGAGGGGACCCTGTGCCCACCCACCTATGATTGTGTCAGTGCCTGTCATTGACAAGCTTCCTCCAATCTCAAGTCCCGGTCACCTGTGTACCCCAAGGGCCTAGTGCGGGGGCCGGGGCACTACACGGAGGAAGGGAAGGTGGGCTGTGGTTGTCTAAATGTTCCTCCATCTCCTCGGACAGCCACCTTGCACCATCTCCCTGATACCAAGCACAGCGGGGGAGGATGGGTCCAAAGCGAGGCACCTGGGCCCCGAACTATGGGCAGGGATGTCACGGGCTGCACCTGCTGTGGGACCTGTTCCCGCCCAGTCCCCAGCACCCACCCCAGAGACACAGAGAAGCCAGAGCCAGTGCAATAGGAGGGGTCTGTGTGGTTCCCACCAGGTGATCGGAGCTTGGCCACTGGCGCACGTGGTCAGGCGTCCTGTCCTGGTGGCCATCAAAACAACAGGGCTTTCTTCTTGAGGTCATTCCTCTTCCAGAGGGCCAGGCGGTCAAACTCCTCCATGTTCATCCCAAACACCTCCTGGAACTCCTCCGGAGACAAGTGTCTCTTCAACAAAAAAGGAAAAACCAGACAGGAGCAGTTAGCAGCTGGGCAGTGCACCCCTGGGCCACCGGAGGCAGGACTGGGGGCGAGGATGGGGTGACCACCCTCAGCGTGCCTGGGGGCCCCGGCTCCCCGGACGCCTTCTGTATCCCTATCCTTCCCGCTATACAGCTGAAGGAACCAAGCCCAGAGGAGAGAGACTCGCTGAGGGACCCTTGGTGATGCCTGCACACGCATCCCCCATTGCAGACCAAGGTCATACGCACGCCAGGGACTAGGACTCGCACCTGCTTGGGAACATCTGAGGTTTCGGTAGATTGCTTATGTGGTCACGCTATTTCATTTAATTTTCACGGTGCTGTCTACGAGCAGGAGGTGGGTGGTTTATTACGCCCCATTTTGCAGACGAGGAAGCTGAGGTGTGGACAGAAGCTTATCAGGGCCCAGCCTGAGTTCAGCTGTTCCCCCTCCCCGGCCTCTGCTGTTTGATCAGGAACGAGTTTTTTTGTCTGAGCCCCGCTCCTGGTCTGGGGGCACACGGAGAGGCTGCACAGCGTGGTGGTCAGGGGCACCACCACCCCAGACTATGCAACGCTGGGGGAGTCAGCTGGCCTCCTGGAGCCTCAGTCTACTCAGCTGAGTAATGGGGTCGCCGTGGTGCCCCCGCTTGGAGTGGTGGGGATGGATGAGTCAATGCAGGTCAGCGCTTAGGCCAGGCCAGGGGGTGTCAGCCGCTGGGACCGTCAGCGGGGCGTCCCCAGACCTGGGGGCTAGCCCCCCCTTTCCTGTGTCTGTGCGGCATCCCCCCCACCGCCCAGTCTGTCTTTGTCAGTCGGCTCTGAGAGACTCCTGAGCTGGGGCTCAGGTGGGTGCTGCACCCCCTCCCGTCAAGCTTCCCACGGAGAGGGCGGCTTTCTGCCTATGCACCTGTGTGTTTGCCCTGCCTGGGAGGGGCCCAGGGGAAGAACAAAAAGGAAGTTGGGGTGGTCTGTGGCAGGAGGGGGTCCGGCTCTGGGCCTAGAGGACCTGGCTCAAATCCTCGCTCTGTGTAGCCATGTGGAACACCGTCTGGCAGTTCCTCCAGGAAATGTACAATTCTGTACATGTAACAGAATTTCCCCTTTCCAGGAATCCCTCTCCCAGGTGGGAAACGGGGACTGATACTTGCCCACCCATGGTCACAGCAGCGCTATTCACAAGGGCCACAACGTGGAAACAGCCCAGCTGTCCATTAGGGGACAACGGCTACGCCAAATGTGCCGGCACACACACTGGAATGTCCTTCAGCCACAAAAAGCAGTGACACTCTGACATCTGCTCCAACGTGGACGAGACCTGGAACATGAGGCCCGAGTGAAAGACGCCAGACACACAAGGTCACGTGTTGGGGTCCCATTCATATGAAACATCCAGAACGGGACCAGAACCAGCCCGGAGCGTGCCAGGGGCTGGGCAGGGAGAGCAATGTGGGACGACGGCTTACTGGGTGTGGGGTCTCCTTTGGGGGTGAGGAAAATGTTCTGGTACTAGACAGAGGTGGTGACTGCCCAGCCTCGTGACTGTGCCAAATGCCACTGGATGGCACACTTAGAAATGGTCAAAATGATGAATTTTACAATTAGAAAAAATTCTTGCACCCAAAAAGTGTGGTTTCCTTAACTTTAAAACAAAACTACTCATCCTAAAGGTCATTGTGATGATCAAGAGAGAAAATGCATGTGGAGACATTTGGTCAATTATGAAAAGCATAAACATCAATCATTAACACCCACGTCTTTCACAAGTATCACCAAATCTGTGTGGCCTGTGCTTAGGGTTTGGAGCCCAGTTGCTGGAGGAGGGAACGCAAGACACACCCCATCCCCCACCTCCAGTCTTATGCTGAGTCACAAAAGCCCCTTTTAAAGGAATCTGGGCCTGGAGTCCTCAGCGCACCACGTGCACACACACACACACACACACACCACACACACACACACACACACACACACACACCCATCCAGCTAGTCTCTGCCAGGAAGGGGCCATCAGCTGCCTGCTGCTATCTTGAATTTGCAAACAGGAAGAGAATCCTGGAGCTTGCCAGAAAGAACCATTTGCACGGTGTTGGAACTGAGTCTTGGTGGCTGAGGAATCACACCCAGTCCACAGGGGTTCGGAATTGGCTCCGATCACAGCGCCCAAGTCCAGATCACACGCTTCCCAATTACGGTGGGACAATCAAGATGCGCGAAAGGAAGGACAGGAACGTAGCTTCCACCATTACTCTACAAACACTGGGTGCCTGCGACATGCCGGAGACACGGGTCCCTGGGGCGTGGGCTGGGGGAGGGGTGGTCATCAGATAGGAACGAGAGTAAGGCCGTCCCCCAGGGATGTCTGAGAACGGCCAGGTGGGAGGAGCGGCTGACCAGTCCTCGGGAAGGAGACAGGACCAGGCCTTCAAAGAGATGGGAGGCTGGCTCTCTCCGGTTCTGCGCCCTGGGGGGTCTTCAGAGCCCCACTCAGGGATGGCTTGGGAGAGCCTGAGGCCAACCCCCTGGAACCCTCAACCTTCCTCACCCCTGATAGGAGTGCGGCTCCCGCCTGCCCTGC